TGGTGCTTTCAATTCTACCATTTTATATTAATATATTTCTCATTTTTCTTAGTGTAACCTAACATCTTGTTCTCATCAATTTCTTTTAAGCAATTACGTAAATGGGTGCTCAGTTAATAAATGCATAGTGAAAATAATTATTAACTATCTTAACACTCATTAAAAATGATCAAAAGAATATAAGAAATCAGAAAAGGATTATGAAACCTCTCTTACTACAAACACTTGCGTGGAGCACTTCATTTCAATGAACCTCACTAGGTAGACCTCTACTCTCATTGAGATAGAGAGGGCAGATATTATTATCCTTGTTAAATAGATTAGGTGGCTTGGTCAAGCATGTTTGGTCCGTGTTGATTTTTCCCCTACTTGATCTCTCAATTTGCTATTAAAATTTCCAAATACGACTACATAATTTTCCATTTCTCCTTTTAATTCTATCAATTCCTCTTCACATGTTGGAAATTGCTGGAGTTTCCACATTTGTAAATGTTTATAGCTTTGTATTAGAAGGTCTATTATTCCATAAAATATTCCATCAAAACTGAGTGGCTTGAAATCACATCAACACCTCCATTTCTGATTATCAGTAATCTTAGGGCAGCTTAAGCAGGTCTTCTCTTGCAGTCTGGCTACAGCTGCAGTCATCGTAATACTTGACTAGTCAAGGTTCTCTTCCCAAGCTCACACATGTGATTGTTCGGGTTTGGTCCATCATCTATTGTTGTATGGAGGATGTGAATTCCTCATAGGTTGGTGCTCTGAATCCACCCTGAATTCTTTGCCATGTTGGTTTCTTCAAGGTAGAAGCATGCTTTGCTAAAACATGCAAGAAGTCAGTGTCTTTGGTGACTTAATCATGGAGGTGGCACTCCATTGCTTTTGCCACATCCTTCTAGTGGGAAATAAGTCACATGGTCCAGTCCACACTGAAGGGGAGAATATTTCATTGGACACTGAATGCCAGGAGGCAGGAGTCAGTGGGTGACTGGTCAGAAGCTATTACCATCTCGTTGTTGAATTGGCTTTTTTATCCTTTTATGTCTATGTATATCTCAAATAATAATTATGTTTTTGATTGTTGTTGTTAGCATCTTTTCATGGAATATCTTTTTTCTTCCTTTCACTTTCAAACTACTTAGATTTTTATTTAAAGTGTCTGTTCGGTGTACAATGTCTTGTTGAGTTACTTACATTCTTTGTTAACTTCCACCTTTTAATTGTAATCTTGATTTCATTATGTCTAACAATTTAATTCAGTACTGATATTGGTGGATATTGGTACACCATTTTACTTAGTATTTTTTTACTTGTTCTTCTGTGTTGTGTTGTTCTGTTTCTCCTTTCTTTTAAAATATTTTTACTTTAATTTTTCAGCTCCTAAGCTAAGAAAATACCTTGTGCTTATTTTTATATTTTAAACATATTTCTTGATTACCGCAGGAATTATAATATACCATTAACCTCAAATAATCCACTCATAATAAATTGTTCTCTTTATATAAAAGTAAAAATGTCACTAACATGTGTGAACACATTTTCCAACTTTAAGATTACAGTTTATTGTTCAATCCCCGGTACACCCCCCAAAAAAGATTACAGTTTATTATACATACCATAGCTACCTAAATTATAAACCTAAGACAATACTATAATATTTTCTTCAAACAATTACATGGTTTATAAAGAAATTAAGAGAAAAAGCCATGAAGAAAACACAGTCTTTTCCATTAACCCAAATATTGATGATTTCTGGTACTTTTTACCTTTTTCTTAGGATCTTGGCACAGAACTTACTATATCTTGTAGTTCAGGTCTGGTGAACATGAATTTCATTTTCTGAAATGAACTATGTCCTTACTTCCAACTCAGGTCCTTGTGCTTGTGAGGCAAGCGGCAGAACCACTGAGATAAATCTCCAGCCCTTGTCCTTACTTTTGAAGAGCATTTTAGCTGCATGCAGATTTCTGGGTTGAATGTTTTCCTTTAAAGACTGAATATGTCATATGACTTTTCCATGATTTCTAATAAATAGCCTTTCATTTCTACAGAATATATGTCATCTTTTGTTGTTCTTTTATTTCAGTTTATATCTTTGAGCCTGTTTTACATGGTAAAATCCTAACAAAGACTGGAGATCCACTCTGTGGCTCTGTTTTCTTCCAGGGATTCCTTATACTCAGTGGCACTGATGACTTTCTAGCCCTGTTTTTTTGTTTGTTTGTTTGCTTGTTTTTGTTTTTTTTAGACCAGAAGGACTATAGACATCCCCATGCTATGCCCCTGTCATAGATGTCTGTGTTTATATAGCCTACACCTTGACTTAGGCTAAAAGCTATAGATATAGGGACTTGAATAGAACCTCATCTCTTTAAGTAAGCGTGCAGCCATGACAAGACTTGGCCTGTTTCTGTCCAACATACCTTTAGGTAATTGGGTTTTACATTATGTTTATACTTTAGTATTTTTTCTATAAGAGGGCAACAATGTGTCATATTCCTAATAGGAATTCATGTTCTTTTACCTTTAATTTAGCTATGAGTTTGTACTTAACCTGGATTTCCTACACAGAAAATATAACTTTGATCTTTTAAAAATTACTATTCAGTCTTATTATAACTGTCTTTTAATTAGAACAGTCAGCCACTTTCATCT